ATTGGGAGATTGATCCTTCATCAATTATTTCTAATCCTGTAATTTTGGTAGATTGAATTGGCAGGTAGTGCATGTTTGAGCATCCCTTTTAATCCGTAATGTATAGGATTACCACCCAATTGTTTCCTGTGAGAAACATAAGTTAGTTGAAACTTGATGAACAATGCTCTTTTCTGTTTTAGGTCTGGAACCAATCATCTCAACTGTTCTCTTTTGCTGTTTCCAGACATGTTAATAGGCTTCTAGCTTCTCTGATGAATGCTAATGAACTAGTGTTGCATTTCAGGTTATATACAATTCGTTTCCTTTAGATTCTTTCTGTCTTTTGAAGCACTGAAGAATTTGATTAGAAATGAATGACGGTGTTTATTCGGTAGAATTGCATATGGTACTCCCTCGATGCTATACTCTTGTACTTGGTTGCTGAAGTTTATTTTCTTGATTTGATTCTGTTGCGTACAACTGCAAAATGATCCTGACTTGGTTTTTCTTTCTAATCTATGACCAATATGGCTAAATCTTTCGCTATACATCCTCCCTCCTCGCATTTTATCTTGTTTTACAGTTGGGAATTGGTTGGCATCACACTGATCTGTCAGTGGAACTTAGATATGGCTTTCCTTCACATGCCACTTCTGATTCATGTAACTTGTTTATTTTCTTTCGAGTGTAATCAATCTGGGAGGGTTAACCTTTTTGTGGTGATTTTCAGCCATCAGCCGATCTGAAAGTGTCCACAGCCGCAGAAAAAGAGCCACTGAACATCATGTTAAAGATTAGGCTATAAGTCTGGGCCGTGGGGATTAGTCGTGGTGCGCGCAAGCTGGCCCGGACACCCCACATAAATAAAAAAGAAAAAAAGATTAGGCTATAAATCTAAAAAAGAAAAAAAGATTAGGCTATAAGTCTAACCGCACACTAAAAATAGATTAGGCTATAAGTCTAACCGCACACTGATATTTTCCTGAGGTTATGAAGTTTTATCAGAATGGGAGGGACTTGCATGTTATTGAGCACCTTTCCCTGCAGCTTTTGCTGTCAACTTATTCAATTTCCAAATTTAGGTACCAACAAAAGGCAAAATTTTCAACACATGGATATAAAGGAAAAGGTCCGCTGCCTTTGGCAGACCTACTGGCCTTGAAAGGAAATTGATGTACAGCACGTGAAGAGTTTATAATAACTATCCCGTTGGTTATAAGCACCAACACGTTTTGCTCAATATAAGTAACATTAATTTTTAGTATAAATAATATATACTTAATATAAATAATATTTTTTTCTTTTCTTTTTAATTTTTTTTTCCTCTCTTGCATACACACTCATATCCACCGCCTTTTCCCTTTCGATTCTCTTCTTTAAATTTCATGTACTTAATTTAATTACTTTTTTTTTTTTTAACTATATTGACATTTTTTTTAGAATTATAAAAAAAGAGTAGAATTAATATGTTCAACCCATGAATATTTATAATATCAATAAAATTTCTTGCCTAACATGATATAATAAAAAAAAGTGAATTGGGTTTATATTTTATAAAACATCACAAGTTTAGATATAATTATGGATAAATATTCAACCAATTATAGCCATGAATGCCTCATAAATGTCCACAATGATTCAAATAAAAATCACCCCATCAAGTTCCCAATCAAACACAACGAACAAACCAAATTTTAACACAATAACTATGCTCCGCATGGCAAGATGGAATGGTTTCAAAATATCCCAATTATCAAAGACTAACAGTAAGAATAGTTCCTATAGTTAAAACTAGAAGTAAGTACTCGAGAGGGCATTTGGTCTAGTGGTATGATTCTCGCTTTGGGTGCGAGAGGTCCCGAGTTCGATTCTCGGAATGCCCCCTTTTGTTCGTTGGCACATAAGCTAACAGTAGCCAATAGCTGTTGAGCACGTACACTTCTTCCCAAAACCGCACCTCATGCCTGCATGTAGTAGCATGGCTAGAGATTTCTTCCACTGGGTCAATCAATAAACCTCCTACTTGGAAAATTTATTTTAAAATTCTTACACAAAAAAAAAAATAGAGAATAAGGGAAAAAAAACACTTGTATATTTAAAAACTTGGAAATCATGTTGCCCTTTTTTTCCATTAATCTCTCTATTTTTATTTTTATTTGTTTTTTTTTTCATTTTTATCTTCAGATATTTTTTTTAATATTTGTTTATGACTTATTTTGATATCATACGAAATCACAATGCAATTAATATTTCCTTGTCTAAAATAAATAACTTGAATGATAATTATACAAGGAAAAAAAACACTCAATAATTACCTAAGCTATGTAAATAACAATCTGAACTTGTATGATCACTACAAAAACAATAATGACACAAACAGCGAATTAAAATAATCAACATTAACCAATCATAATATCGAACAATTAAATCACTTATATTCAAAATACCAATTTCAAGATTAAAAATATGTGATTATTGAAGCGGAGCGGAAAAGGAAAGAGCTGGATATTTATATTTACAATAAAAGTCGTTGCTTTTATTAAGTAGAGGAAAAAGAAGTGAAAATAAAATATCACTTTTGGGAATTCGAAAGTTCATGTGTTATTTTATCTTGAACTGAATTGCCAGCATGTAATTGTGCGGTGATTGAAATATAGTTTATTTGATGGGTCTATATAAAAAATTAAATCTAATTAAAATAGAGTTAATTTTATGTTAAAATAAATAAAAAATATATTCATCTAATAAAATCTCAATTAAACTAATTGGTTTTTTAATTGCTTGGCTAATATAATCAAATTAATTTTAAGAAGGTTTTTTTTTAAAAAAATATTATTAATTTAATAAAAATAACTCGGTAATACAATTTATTTTTTTCCAGGTGATTCCGGATCCGAATCTAACAAATGTAAATAACAATTTGAACTTGTATGATCACTACAAAAACAATAATGACACAAACAGCGAATTAAAATAATCAACATTAACCAATCATAATATTGAACAATTAAATCACTTATATTCAAAATACCAATTTCAAGATTAAAAATATGTGATTATTGAAGCGGAGCGGAAAAGGAAAGAGCTGGATATTTATATTTACAATAAAAGTCGTTGCTTTTATTAAGTAGAGGAAAAAGAAGTGAAAATAAAATATCACTTTTGGGAATTCGAAAGTTCATGTGTTATTTTATCTTGAACTGAATTGCCAGCATGTAATTGTGCGGTGATTGAAATATAGTTTATTTGATGGGTCTATATAAAAAATTAAATCTAATTAAAATCAAGTTAATTTTATGTTAAAATAAATAAAAAATATATTCATCTAATAAAATCTCAATTAAACTAATTGGTTTTTTAATTGCTTGGCTAATATAATCAAATTAATTTTAAGAAGGTTTTTTTTTAAAAAAATATTATTAATTTAATAAAAATAACTCGGTAATACAATTTATTTTTTTCCAGGTGATTCCGGATCCGAATCTAACAAATATGATTGAAATAATAAGATGTTGAATTGAAAAAAAATATTCCATGGTGGTTAAAGTGGTGAACTTTCCGGGCTAAATTACAATTTAACCAAAGAAAATGGTCACCACTGGATCAATAAAAGGGGCATTCCGAGAATTGAACTCGGGACCTCTCGCACCCTAAGCGAGAATCATACCACTAGACCAAATGCCCGTTATTAGCATCTTTAACAATATAATAGAATATAACTCTAGTTTTCCATTCGACAACCAGAAAAGTCTGCGGCTCCTCAGCCTCCCTCCCTCCCTCCCTCCCTCGTTTTTCCTTACATACAAATGGGATGTTAATCAATTACGCAAATTAGACTTAGTCACTGTTGTAATGTAATTCTTCTAATTATATACAAATGAGATGTTAAAAAAAAAACCCTAAAAAAATATAAAATAAAAACCTTGTTAAGATTAATATGTTGAATAACAATATCAAGGAATTTTTTTGACTTCTCTGGGCATATTAAACATTTAAGGCTACAAAAAGTAGGTTGTAATCTCGAAGACTATAATACTGTATATGTTATAGTTTGTAACATATAAGCACCTAGCAAGCTGGACAACAATTGCTTCATGTGATTTTTTTTGTCTATTTACTGTCGGATTGTTAAGGTAATTTGCATCACAGATCATGTCGGCAAGATCTCAATCCATAAATAATATCATGAATACAAGTTACATTTCATTTTAATTTCTGATAAAATAGTTTGTGAAAAACTATTTCCATCCAAGAAATTGAATTAATTAATTGTGAATGTATTACTTTAGTTTTATAAATTTGCAACCTAAAACGTGTTCTACTTTGACTTAATCAAGTGAAAAATCTTAAGAGTTAAGTAATTAAATTTTTTTATTAATATAAATATTTAAATTAAATTACATATATCTTAATTATTTTTACGAGTTTTAAAATTAATAATTATATAAATTTTTAATGACTCTGAAATTTATAAAATTTAAACTAATAAACTCTAAAAAATAAATTTAAAATTATTTATAATTAAGTTATACCTCTCAAATTTTAATTATATCTTACATATCTATGTAATTAATCAGATTTGTTTAATTGAGATAGTCATTCAAATCCCACAAATACAATAATTAAAAATATCTCAAGTTTTAATTATATTCTCATGCACCTATATAATTAATCAGATTCTCTTAATTGAGATAGACATTCAAATTCCAGAAACAGAACAACAAAAAATATAAGATATTTTTTGCAAGTGAGGTTCTAGTCTAGCGGTGGGAGGGGCTTGTCCCCTTCCTCCGCACCTGGGTTCGAACCTCACCATGCACGCCTGTCACCCCCGCGGTGCCTTACCATCAGTACTCATAATATTAGAACCGAAATAAACGAAGAGAGAAAATTAAACAATATCTTTTTCTTAAGAATAGAAAGTTAATTATCTCTCGGCGGTGGATTCGGGCGAGGCACAATAAATGAAGCGTATCCGACCGATGGATGAATCCCTAAATGGTAAATACAAACACTAATATATGACCTGTTATCTTACACTCATTTCGTATATCTGGCTTCTCTTTCTAGTTCTTCTCTCTACAATAACTGGAACTTATTTCACCTTGCAATAAAAAATCCCTGCCTGGAATCCACTTTGATTTTACCATACCCACTTTCTGTTTGTTGATAAAACGCAGAGAAACTGGAAGAAATCAAGGTAAAGTTTTAACGTATTTGTTATTTGAATTATAATTGTTTCTGGTTTCTGGTTTCAGCTTGTGTTGATTGAAAAATCGAACTGGGTTTTTCGGCTTAAGATAGAAGAATTCTGGGTTTTGTCGGTTTTATGTGTTTAATTCGATTTTTTGGCCAGATTTCTTATTGGTTTCCATTGATCTTTTTTGCGTTTGGTGCCCTTTTGAATTGGTAGAGTGGGGAAGTTTTTTTCTTTTTAGAGTTAGTCTTTTGTTTGACTAGAATTGGTTGAAGTGTGTTAGGTTTTTTATTAATCGGAATGTTAGGAATTTTTATCTCTTTTTTATCAGGGTTGATTTTTTAAGCTGCTGAGTCGGCGAGGATCCATGTAGTAGAAGCTTGGCATGGTGTTTGTAAAGTATCTGGAATTAGTGGTTATTGGGTTTAGGATTGTTTAAATGCATTGTGGTTTTCGTGTTTTGTTAGGAGTGTTTAGAGTTGAGAGCCAGTTGTTTTGAGTATTTTGTTTGGTATGAATTTGTTACTTTGAGCTTTGAGAAGTAACGTGGTTTTTACAGTAGTGATGATTGAGATTTATGTTTTTTGCTTTTTGTGAATGAGGCAATCCTGAAATGTTGTGTCCCGGGGCAGAGGAAAATATTGTATGCAAATTATTTGGTCTTTGAGCATCTGAAGGAATAGCTATATGCGTGCAAGAGTAGGATGGTACACATCACTAGAATTGGTTTCTTTCACCAAGCATTTATGGAGATTGTAAAAACAGTTAATAAACTAATCTTATGTAGTGTAATGGGTTCTCTTTAACTGGAAATAGTTAATCATTTACAGGGTTTGCTCTTATTTTTATTTTAGAGGGAATTAAATGGTGTGTCCTATTCAGGTATTGCAACCTTTACACAAATGCATGGTAAAGAACTGAAGGAGTGTGAAGGACTAGGAGGATAAGAAACTCAATCATATTATTGGTTAGCTAGGTTTCTTTGTGTTTCTACGTTACCAGTGAAATGGCTTGTTTACAGTACACAATGAGAATGTGACGAGGCATTTACTGTTAAACAGCTTATGTAGATTTCTAATTAACATTCTAGTTCATAAAATAAGCCATAATTCCTAAAATCAAGATTCTCTTCCATGATGTATTTGTAAATAGCATAGGTTAACATTGTAAAGAATTGAAAATCATATTGAATCAATTTAAAGATCTTTTTTTTTTTTTTGCCTTACTTCGTCTGCAGGGCCAATATTGGGATTTGGGCATGTGATTGCTTGGCAGGGGATGGAACAAGAGATTAATGATACAGAAGCTGAGCTGGCTGAAGCCTCCACAAAATTGCAGTCAACTGAGAATAACAATATGGAAACTGAGAATCCTATTGAAGCATCGACTAAGTTACAATCTGAAATAAACAACAATGGAGATGGAAATCTTGTGGATGCATTAACTAAAGGTCAATCATCCAGAAAAAGAACCCCCAAATCATTGAGGGCCAAATCTAAAACCATAGAGAAACCTTCAGCTAACAATTCTTTGAAGTCCAAGAAAGCTAAAAGCAGTCCAAAATCTCAAGGAAGAAACAGAAAGAAGAATAAAGATATTATACAACGCAAGGGAGAAAGAAACAGAAATGAGCATGGTGATGCTAATAACCTGAATTCGAGTGAAAAGAATGTTTCTAAGAAAGAGCACGTTGAGAATGGCCAAGAGATTCGAAAGAACCAAGAAAGATTTGTTGGGTCAAATAAGGGTCAAAAGAGCCAAAATAGTGGAGAAAAGCATGGTGTCTTAGTTGACAGAAGCTCGAGAAATCAAAAAAACAAAGAAAAACATGATGAGAGAGAAAAAAATGGATGGGATGAGAAGAAGAAAGAAAAGCTTGGTGGTATGATCTTTATGTGCAGTGCAAAAACCAAACCAGATTGTTTCCTCTATCGTGTCATGGGTGTCACAATGAATAAAAAGGAACTCATATTGGGTGTGAAACCTGGACTTAAGCTTTTCCTGTATGATTTTGATCTGAAACTTATGTATGGTATCTATGAAGCATCCTCTGCTGGTGGAGTGAAATTGGAGCCCAAGGCTTTCGGTGGTTCCTTCCCATTTCAGGTTTTATTTTAATTTATGAGGCAGACTTCTCTTTTGTAGCATTACTGTTTTCTCGTCAACTTTACAGGATCTGCATTCTGATGTTAGTGAGTTCCAGGTGCGGTTTGTTGTTCGCAAGGACTGTTTTCCAATCACTGAGAGTGTTTTCAAGAAGGCTATAAAGGACAATTATAATGAGAAGAACAAGTTCAAAACAGAACTTACTGTTCGACAGGTAAAATTTGGTCAGTTCATCTGCTAGCTTGGTATGAATTCTTTGCTGTACATGTGTTAGAACTGTTTATCTGATTACCCTATGTATATATAAAAAAAATCTTCTATTTTCTCTTAGGTCCTGAAACTCAGTGCACTTTTCCGCCCAGTTATAGGGCCTGTACGCTCGCCATCAATGGTGACTGTTCAGGATAGAGAAGTTTATGCGGGAGCAAGAGACTTACAGGTCCATTTGGAAAGGGAAGCATTTGCTAGAGCCAATCATGATGCTAGGAGATACTCCATGCTCTCTGAAGAAAGGGATCGACATGTTGAATACCAGCAGGCGGGCTCTATGCACAGAGATGAGTTTCCTTGTGATTTATTCATGAGTGAAAAGGAATATAGAACGTATGGCCTTTCAGGAGAGAGAAGAAAGTTGACTCCCTCTCATCATATTCCATCCACTCTAGACCCATACCAGAGAGACCAGGAAAGAGAGCACCCTCTTAGACAGCCAGACCCTATATACAGAGACACTGTACCTTTGCAAAGAGAAGGCGTTCTGGCTGTTCCTCTCTACTTGAACCAGCCATATAATTCTAGTGGTAGACGTGAATTGCCACCAGCCATTACTTCGATACCTGCAACTTCTTCTGGCTCTGCTCTTGCTGCTTTGGACCCATACACAAGGGATCCATATTATACTAACCATCATGGTGCTTCATCTGCAGATGCATATGTGCCACCTCCAAGGATAGATGAACTTTCTTCAGGTTCCTATTATGTTGATGGTCGTAGAGAGACTTACCTATTTGAGGCAGATCCCTTGCGTAGGAGGGAAGCTGATCAAGAGGGTAGATTATACTCAACGCATGCTTCTGATGCATTGTCAAATTATAACAAGTTACTCCAGTACCACGGAGCCAAGCCTGAAACTGCACCTCCATCAGTTTCATCTCGGTACTCTTTTGCTGGGCCATCTGTCTACTATCGCTAGCCTTGTTTGCAGATCTCTGCCATGGAGGTCGAAAATAACAGAGATTGGGTGTATGGTCGAAAATAACGGAGGATAGCTCAACCCGTCATATTTTGGTTGGGATGGGAGATTGAGCACATCTGAGAGCACATTCGAGTTTATTTTATTTTACCTTTATTTGGATTTGTTAATCATGTACTTTAGACTTAATTGTTAGTCCAATTATTGGTAATGTTTTCATTAGGGTTTGTCTTAAACTATCCAACTGTATTTATCTATTATAAAAATTGCATCTTTGCAAGAAACGTCTCTGCCCTCTCCTCTTTCACTTCCTTATTCATTTTTAATTCCTTAATCAATTCGTTGTCCTACATCAGAAACGAGGTTTCTTCATGTTCCTATTATGTTGATGGTCGATGAGAGACTTGCCTTTTTGAGGCTGGTCCCTTGCATCGTAGGGAAACTGATCAAATGGATAAATTACACTCCAACATACGCTGCCGATGCATTATCAAATTATAACCAGGTGCTCTAGTGTCTCGCTAACCTTGCGTGTAGATCTCATGTTGGCTGCATAGTCCTCTTCTTCAAGCACATGTGAATTAAATTTGCTGCTTATAATGTTTAAGTCCATGCACGTACAGGCTCTGCATTTCTGCTCATTTTCCCTAGTTGAAACTTGCATTAAAATTCCTGTTTTTAGGCTGATCAATTTTCGTTATAGGCTCTTCAAGACTATCCTAGTTCTTGCATGGTGTCGGTAATTATTTGCGGATATATAGCGAACAGGTTGCTGTAATTTGCGAGGATAGAATTGAGCCATGGCACAGGAGATCTACCTGGCTAGTAATTTAACATCATTGATTTTCTTTAGGTCAATAAAATGGTGGTGAGCCTGATACTTGAAGGAACAAGAGCTGCAGCATCACATGCTGACTTTCGTATTGTGAAAGGTCATGCTGGTCCTGTTTTGTTTACATATGATTGAGGCATTATTGCCCGTTTCAATATTTCTTTTTCCATTTAATTTTGAAGATCAATGTCAGGGTCGTGACGAGGGGGAATTGAAGTCCTAACATATACTCTGGCAATTGATAACTGTGTAGTTGATGTTTGATTTTTAATGGGGATGACCTTTTGGCTTTTTACCGAAAAGAGAGACAGAATAGAGAAAAAAAGAATCTGTTCGAAAAAAGTTCTTGATGTGAACTTGAACGATTTCCTGTTGCTGCGGAGGATTCAGAAGAGGGCTGTTCTTTAGTTCTTCGGAGTGGACAGCAGCAAAAGGCGACCAGTCGAGCTAGCTACTTCTGCAGGGGATCTCATTAAGGTTTTCTTAATCAGAGCCATACAAAGGGCACGATGGCAAGAGTCTCATAGTCTACACCACTAGAGTTGTCAGATTTAGCTTGAGTTCTTGAGCTTGACGCAGGGTTGGAAAAGGATAAAACTTGTACGTGCAAGAGGAAGATCTTTCTGCATTTGGAGCAGTTCAATTATTCTGGAGGCAGCATCAGACGTGAGCTCCTGAATATTAGTTGGAGATGCAGCGGCCATTGTGGAGGCATGTTCAGCTGTCGCGGGAGATGCATGGACTTCAACTGTGACAGCAGTCGCGGGAGATGCATGGACTTCAACTGTGTGCTGGATTGCAGATTCATGCATGACTTGGTCATTTACTGCTTAAATAATTAGGAAAGTGAGATTGTTTCAGAAGTGATTGTGAACAAGAGGGACCTTCATTAAGCTTAGGGAACACATCCTGAAACAAAATGCTTTTGTTTCATCAGTGATTTTTTTTTTTATTATTTGAAACGGAATGAAATGATAAATTTGCAGGGCTGATCATATATTATGCACAGACAGGCAAGGATAACAAACAACATACTCCAGAAAACGGGAAGGTCCTTGACGCGGGTGCGTGCTTGATGCATTGGCTGAAGCCTTGACATTCACATCAAGGGTTAGTTCAGATGTATTGTAATTTGTAGACTAATAATTTATAAACATATAAGCATTAGGCTTATCAGGGATTGTAATCAATAGGCAATTATTTCATTTATCAAAAAACACAAAAATATTTCAATCCATGCTCTCTTATCAGGGATTTCTTGTACATAGTTATAATCAAATCAAGAATCACTCCATTGACACAAGTTCTTTCATCTTGAATTTTAATTTTTAATTTTTTAATTCAAAACATTAAGTTATTTGATTACTTATTAAATTTATAATTGGTCTCTGCACATACATCAAGTGCAAATTTTTTAACATGCATTAAATTGGATTGGAATCACAAGTTTAAAATTGTAAAAATAGTCAGAGTTCAAATATTATTTTTATTTTCATCAATATAACATTCAATTTTCAATTTAAATTCTTTTTATTTGAGACATGCATAAAAAAAACTTTGAAACAACACGAGACACAAGACACGTCTCAGACATGTATGATTGAATATGTTGGAAAATACCTCATCCAATCATTCTTTGGTTGATAGATTAGACTTAAGACTATTTTATTCAATTTCATTTGATTTTTTCATTGGGTTTGATTTATCTTCGTGTTAATATATTTTATTTAGTTAATTCCTAGTTATTTAATATGTGTTTTACCATGGGTTGGATAATTTTTTTGCAAACAAAAAAAAATACTAGCTTTTTAAATATGTTTTTTATTTAAATTCTAATTACAAATTAAAAGATCTATGCATGCATTAATTAAATGCCTCGAGAATCATTTATGCTAATAAATGTAAAAAAATAAAATGTTTACATGTTTATCCAACTTGTCTCATTGTAGATTAATTATTTTTTTCTCACACAAAAAAATTAATGTATAGGTGTTATTATTATATTTTTTGACATAAAATAAGAAATATAACTGTAAATAAAAAAATTAATACTTACATATAATAAATTGTAATAAATATCATGTGTTAATAAAGTGTAAAAAAAAATGTTATACATATAATAGTTTTTAAAAAAAAAGTGTAAAGAAAAAAAATACAAAATGATAAAGATAAAAACAAAAAAAAATGGTATAGTGATAAACCAAATATTGTGATAAATATTCAAAGTGTAAAAAAAAAAATAATGCTTTTTTCTAAAAGAGTGTAGGGAAAAAAAAGAAAAACTAAAAAAAAATATTAAAAAGAATTAAGATAAAAAAGAAATAGTGATTAATAGACTAAATATAAAATGATAAAAAAAATAAGTATTAAAAAATATATATGAAAAACTTGTTTTCTAAAAAAAACCCAAAAATTACAATTTTACCATGCAAAAAAAATTAACAAAATTTACAATTATAATATTTTTACATGAAAACACCATTTCTTTAAAGTAATTGTGAATCAATGTTTGGGTAGAGTTTTGCTATTTATATGTATTGTATTTTACATTACACGGTTTTGGCGATGAATTATGAAGATCATTGATTTCTCCTCCTCCCTCTCCTCTTCTGCTGCTCCTCTCATCTTCTTCTCCCTCCTTTCTTCCTTTCTCTCCGTTTCTTTCTTCAAATCTTCTTGTCCTGTATCATCCTTGGTTCAGTAGCCCCATCAGTTGCATTTGCCTTTTGTTCTCTCAGAAGATCTACCGCACCTGGTAAATCATTTGTGACAATTTCTTCAGTCTTGGGACAGCCTTTTACTTCCAACTCTAGGAGCTGCACAGGGATCGAACCCATCGGTGGAGCAAGCATTATCTCAAGCTTTTACGATGATGAACTTCCAGCAATTTGAGCTTTCTGAAATAGTTAAATACAAGCAAAATTAGATACCTAGTTACTTATTTCATGGTTTATAGAAATTGGAATGATTGGTCGGTACTTACCGTTTGTGCTGACAACTGTTGTATTGTGGAGTTAAGATTTCCAACCCAGGATCCTTTCTTGTCCTTTTCAGTCAATTTAACTCTCCGCAGCTTGGGAGTGCTCAGTGCTTCGTTGGAGAAAAACTTCATCTCAGGACATTGTTCGACAGTTACTTCTACCAGAGATGGGAAATCAAAGCTGTGTTTTTCTGAGCAAAAGCTAGTTAGGCTTGGTAAACGATGAAGTTCTAATATTTCTAGTTTGCTGAAGACAATCTCATCTTTTATTCCGTCTCCCTCGTTTGCTACTATTTCGGTAACCATACCGCAGTCCTTTATACTCATTATTGTGAGTTGCGCCAGACTTTTTGCTGTTGTGGATGTCACTAATTTTACTAATCTTTTGCAATTCCGCACATCCAAATTTGTTAGATTTTGGAAAGAAGCACGGGATGGAGCTAAATAAATCAAACTGCCGCAATTCTGTACTACAAGAGTTTCAAGAGTCTGCAGAGCTTGGTCCAGTTGGGAATTGCTCTTCCATAAATGCTCTAGGCAAGGAAGAGAGTCCAACTCGAAGTGTCGTATCGATGAAAGAACTATTGCATGCTTCTCCATACCATCAAGTCTAGACGGGAGAAACTCTTTGAAGTCACTACATCCCACAATAAGTTTTTCCAATTTAGGGAACCTTGGAAGGAGATCAATTGGAAAAGTTGCATGTGCACCATGAAAGGAATACAGATTGAGAACTTTGAGTTTGTAATAGAAGTCTTGAGGACACAGGCTTTTCAATAATGCCGATGCATCCTTGCCTTCCAAATATAAATCCTCCAAGCTGGGGAAGATCTGAAAACCAATCAAAAGAAAGCATGCTTGACTTGACGTTTTCTTAACAACTTTATAGCTGTGCATAGAAAGATCAACTGAACACTTGACTAAATGAATTGTGCCACGTGAGCTCTAGCTTCAGTTTTGTAAGGTTATGAATGGAAAAGTTTTGTCAATCTTTCAATAAGAATTCTCTTTCTGCGGAGGGGCAGTGGCTTTTAGATTGAACACATCAAACAACATATGTATCCCTCAAAAGAAGTCATCATGCTTCATTAATTCACCAAATATTGGGATGTCAACCATATTCACCTTGCTTGAATGGAAACATAATTAATCATAACTGGAAGATTCAAACCCTTGGTCCTAAATATACAATAAAAAATAAAAAGTTGTAAGAGAATTGTTTTTCTCTCTTTTAACTCTTGTAGCTATCATGATCATCCATTCATCAAACTAAAAATTTTAGTTTTTAATTTTGAGCTTTTAAATTCAAGAAAAATAAAGGTAACAAATAAGTTGTTTCTTTTGATATTAGTTTTGATCATGGTTTGTTTATGAAAGGATTAAAAAAGAGATTATAGTTTATAAAGATTTGAAATTTATGTTGATAAAATTTATTTGTGATTATTATGAGTTTAAAGTTAAGTGATTAATTG